TTCAGCTGGTGGTGGGCAAAACCAAGTTGGAGCAGCAGAGTGGAGCAGCACAACACTGCGTTACCAAGGTGGTGGTTTAAGGAGAACAACAAGCTTGAGGTGTTGACTTGATTTTTAAGTTCTCCAGTGGAGCATCTGTGGATGTGCCGGATAAACTACTCTGATCCATGGCGAGCCCATCTTTCAGCTTCCAGGACTTAAAAGATCTGCTGCTTACATGTCGGTGCCAGACACCACAGCGCACCTTCAGGGGTCTGGTGGAGTCTTTGCTGCCATGGGTCAGGGCTGATTTGCTACCGAATGGGGACCAGCAAGCTCTTGGGCAAATCTTAATAATGTTATGGTCAATCAGTTTAGTAAACCTTGTAAAACCATTGATAAAGACAAGCCTCTGCACATAGAATAGGATAAGTTTCTCACCAAATAAAACTATGCAAGTTTTCAGTTGTTTTTTTTTATCTCTAATTCTCTGTGTCCTTTTTTTGTCCCACTCTTGTACTTTCTGTTTCTCGATTTGCTCATCCCTCTCCGCACACCTGATTGAATTCAGTGTTCTGTCTGATGTTTAACACCTTGGGGAGAATGGATTGGAAAGATGGAGGTTATCTTTCATGTTAACTTTCACTTGCGTATATGTGCATGTCTGTATTCTTTTAGGATGTTAGAGAACGCTTGCAACAGCAGTTCTCTAAAATATAATATAATGGAAGATTGTGACTATTCTATCCCAGGGTGATATTTAGATTCTGGTTTCGTCAGAAGTTGGCTTTGTAAGAAAAGCAATGACTTTACAGTATGAAAAAAAAAAATTCCCATGGAGCACTTTAAAAAGTGCTACAAGGGAGGATTGGAAACTATTTTTAGCACCAAAGATTCTCTGTTGGCAAGAGTGTTAGCCATGGGACTTTACTGTTTCAGTCTCAGGAAGCTGTTGTGCAGTCAGCAGAAGAGGAGGGAAGAAGCAAAAGAAAAATGAGATCTGCATATCCTGTTATCTGTGAATCTTTTTCTCAACAAGCTGCAAAGTGCATATTTGCTATCTGGTGACAGCTGGAGTGTTTGCACATCCAGAAAACCTCCTTGAGTTTCATTGTAGCTGAATATCAACTGCTGAACACTTGGACTGTTTGCAGGCAAGATTTTTCTGAGGCTTTATAGTAAAAATCAAGAAACTGAAAATCAGCTTGAGGAGCTGAAGAACAAAAGACTGACGATACAAAACACTGCATAAAGGTACCAAAAAACAAAAAAGCTAATTTCCTCCTCTCAATAGTCAGCGGCTTCAAAAAATTACACCACAAACATCCGAGTATATTAGAAACATCAAAAAGGAGGCAGCTTTGGCTCCGATGTTTGTTTAATGAGATGGGCATCTCTGAAAAGATAAAACCCCTAAAACAATATGAAAAAGAGCGTTTCCTTTTCGTACCCTTCTTACTGAGCGGTTTTTATGTTTGGGCGGACCTCTCCGAAACGTTAACGTTACTTATCGTCAGGAGAAACATGTTGGTGAAATTAAAAGTTTACTTTGCACTTAAATCTGCCATGGGTGTCAATTTTGCACTGAACTGGAATTGCTGATTGTGGCACCCTTGGCAAAAATTGCAATAGTGGGCAACAAGTTGCTGCAGGGGCAGTTTGGTTCACTCTTGTCTGCAAATATGTTTTAATTAAGTCACATTTGATGTTTTTCAAACATGAACAGTCTACTTGAGGTGCTACAGCATCTCAGTTGGATTTTCATGCACTCCAAAACTAATCTTGTGGGTCATTTTTTCCCATTCAGAGGTGGATTTGCTGGTGTGCTTCAGAGCATTTTCCTGCTGCATAATTCGAGTGCACTTGAGCTTCACAAGCTGTTGGCTGAAAGTTTACCTTCAAGATTTTCTGGTAAAGAGCAGAGTTTATGCTTCCATCAATTCAGATTGCAAAGCAGGAATTCAGCCCCATGCCATGACTCTACCGCCGCCATATTTAACTGTATGATTTTCTTTTTTATGCCAGATGTAACAGGATGCACAACTTACAAAAAGCTCCACTTTAGTCTTTGCAGTACACAGGATATTTTCCCAAAAGTCTTGAGGTTGATGAAGATTTTTTTTTTTTAGGCACATGTGAGACAGGTCTTTACGTGAAGATGCAATTTTTTTCTTAGTTTATTTCTTATTGTTGAATCTTTAACACTGATCTTAACTAAGGCGCCTGCTTTGACTCTTGTTCTGGGATCTTTTGTCATCTTCCTGAGGCTTTGATTCTCTCTTAGAGTAGTTTTGGTCCTGGCCAAAACGATTACTATAATTTTAGAAAAATCTAACGAGAAATGAACTGCTTAGCATCCATATAAACAGTTTGTTTATATGGATGAAATGGCAGTAAGTCTGGACAAAATCAGGGTAGGAAGGCACAATGTACTTCTTTCATTCACAAGTGGTAAAACTAGACTGTGTGTAGAAAAAAAAATACTCTAGGTGGGAACTAGCATTTGTGGACCTGTGAAATAAAATGTAAGAAATAAGATTTTTCAGTCTGTTTTGTTTTGCAAATGTTGTACCTACTGTGGATGCAGCATTTTCTTCTTTTAACCTTAAATTGAAATAGAAAGGCTTTAAAGTAGTCGCACCAGCCCGTTTGTAAAAGCACAAGAAGTGCTGTAGTTTAAGCAAAATGCAATTCTAGCTCAATCCAGGAGCGCATAAATATAAGAATGTGACAATGGAAGGAAATCATTTAAGGTTTCCACATCCAGCTTCTGATTTTCCACTCGATGCCAAACTTGCTGTGGCAGGTAAACAACTCTCAATCAGTCGTCATCTTTCTGCAGGGACAAAAATCAACTGGAGATCAGGAGATGGGTTTTCAGATGTGATATTTCTGGGCTCAATATTTCACTTCCAGCCCCTGCTGTCTCTGATTGGAGCACAGTCACAACTAGAAAAAGCCATCACAGCTGAGTGGTTGGGCTGCGGAGATACTGATGAGTGCTGACAAGTCCTGTGGGCGACTCGTTTGATGAGCTTGCCCCTGGGTAGATGATCTGATCTTGTCACTTCTGACTGTAATTAACTGGCTCTTAACTAGAATAAAAATTCTCCTTGGATATTGTTTTTGGAGCGTATTTTTTAAAAAATGTCTTGAGGTTCTGGGAGAAGATAAATTGTGTTAAGCTCTTACCGTGACTATAGGCTCAATTGTTCAGAGCTGTGAGGCCGGTCTGCTTAGTGCAAAATAAATGAGTGTGGTGTAAACTGTTTGACATGGAGTGTGGGCCCTTTATTATTTTTTTTTATTTGAATCATCTGTCACAGAGCCTCTGGTGAAATCATCATGTTCACAGTAAAACTGTCACATTCCCATATTTCTCCAAATGCATTGTCTCTGTACTCTGACCCTACGTAGAGGGGAAAAAAGAAAAAAGAAAAGTCAGCCTGCAAGGTTTTATATTTGTTTTTTAACAAAGAGCTCAACAGATTTAACATTTCGATAGGAATCGATAAGTGAATTTTCAGCACATTTCAGCTTGTTTGGACGCTTAGGTAGCTGCAAACCTTCTATTCTTGTTGGAAGCTATATTTGATTGCTCTCTTGAGTCAGTATTGTAGACCACAGCTGCAGTTCTTTTGAGGTATTGAGAAACTCGGATTGAGAAACTCTTTTACAACTAAAGTTCAGTCAGATTGGATTGAGAGAATCTGTGAACATCAATTTTAAAGTCTTGGCACAGATTCTGAGTTGGCTTCAGGTCTGGACTTTGACTGGGCCACACAAGTAGATAGATTTCCTTTGTGGCTCAGGCTGCAATTTGTGTGAAGTCACAGATTATTGACCTTAATAGAAAGAAGTCTGAGTGTTTTTGCTACTACAATGATAGAAGACTGGGTTTTACTCAAAATCCAATGAGTCAGTATATTTTTACAGGAGTGGTGCTCAAAAGTGTTCTTTTAATTCTGATTCATTCCTCATTCAGTTTCATGAATTCACACCTGTCATCAATTATGAATCTGTTGAATCTAAAACCAGCTTCTGCTACCCTTTAACTAAAGCTATAGTTCACAGAGAGCTTACAGCAAATGATCCTGGGTATCTCATTTTATAAAGATGTATATGTTCATATTGTATGGCACTATAAAAGTAGTCGACAAAATTTGGAGGAAACGCAGGCAAAAAGTGAAATTACAAAAACTGGACGTTTCTCCAAAACAAGCGAAAAGGACAATGCAGATTTGTGTTAAAGAGTTTGCCAAGAAGCCAACAGCAACCCTTAAGGAGCTGCAGGAATTTCTCCCAAGCATTGCTTCTACTCCACCTGTTACAACCTCATATATACTGCAGGTTTGGACTGAAGATTAGGGCTTCAAGACTGAAACCTTTTTGCTTCTGTAAAATAGAGTCTGTGGTTGCATGTGTTGCTGTCTGATGAAACCTCACCTTAATTTTGACTACAATTCCAAAATGTGAGTTTTACATAAGAACAACATCATAAAATAATATAATGACTTTAAACTTTTATTTTAATAGCCATTTTCTTCCACTCACATCCTGTAGTGGAACACTGCTTTAGTTTTGAATAGATCATAAAATGAATGAAGCAGAAAATCTGACTTTGCAGAGAGATCAGAGAAATTCAGAACATGCTGATTTAGGTGCTTAATTATTATTCTATTGTGATAGGAGTTTCATTGATATAAGCTGCAGGTAATGCACGTAAATAATTTCAGCAGTTTAAGGGAAACACTAAAAAACCCCTCATGTTGTATTAGATTTTTTTTTAAGTACACTTCATTAGCATGGTCATTTAATTTAATTCTAGTGGATTTTTTTTTACAGCAATAAAAAAAAATAAATAAACTATTGTTTCTCCCTTCTGCGGATATGAAATGTCACCGAGTTTGAGGAGATCATTGAAAGTGGATTGAGATGGATTGCATTGGTTTTTTGGTAGAACTATTTTTATGGATTTTTTAAATATATATATATATTTTTTTTAATTTCATGCCATGCAGGTTCCTTCAGGCGTCCAAGAAGCCTTTTCAGGTGAATGCTTGCGGTTTCAGAGAACCGTGCGAGCATCATCCATAAAACGGAGAACCTCAGTTTAAATTCACTCGACGGCTCTCCGCCCGGTTGACGCGTCCTTGAAAAGGAGAGTGAGTTTCCTCCGGCTCTGCGACGACAGCGAGTTAATGTTTGCGCTGAGCTTCCTTCAAGCGAAGACAAAGATAGATTAGAAGACGGCACAAAGAGGAATGATCTGTACGGGACCGGAGTCTTCCGCTGCAGGTTGTGTTTCATTGACACTCTTACAGATTTGTTTTGCTGAAACTCCAGCGAATTGCTTTTAAGTACTGGGAAACGAACTGATTTTTGGCATCTAATGCAGCCCTGAGCAGGTCGGGTGGAGTGTTAAATGGGTTAGGGACAGCCACTTAGGGACTGATTAGACCTGCCAACATCAATACTGGCTGTCAGGATGTAGTGACTGAAGGAGATTGAAGTGTTTAGTTTCAGATTGGCACGGGAGTTGGACGCAGCGAACGTGAGAGGTTTTCAGTTAGCAGACCGATGGTTTCAGTCTGGAATAAGTTTACACAACAATAATAATAGTAGCTGCTGTTTCAACAATAGTGAAATAATAGCTCTTGATGCCACTTCATAATGTGCTGCGGGCTTTTTTGTTGCAAACAGAGAAGTGACAATATTTTAATATGTTTAGTTTCGGTTTAACATCACTACATACCAATATATTTAAAAATATGATTGAATGGAATTATTGTGTTCTGTTCTCTTTTGTTTTTGTTTTTTAAAGCAATATTGTGTTTGTGGGACTATGCATTCTTAAAAGTCTTGTCATAAGGCATCTTCTGACTGAAGCAATGACATGACTCTGAACTGGCTCTCTGGCTGACGAAAACCAAGTTCAACCGTATATAGAACCAGTTAACAACTGGCTACAGCAGAACTGGTTGAGCACTGGAAATGCTTTGTTGCAAAAAAAAAATAATAAAATAAAATAAAATAAAGTTTGAAAATCAACTTGCATACATTTGTTTTAGTATTTGTACCAAGAAACCAATTTCACTTTGCCATGTTCGATTTTGGTCAAGGTCTGGCAGTGCACAAAATAACATTTTTCTAAGTTCTGGCTGAATTGCAAATGTGTTTTGATAAATATCTGTCAACAACTGAAAAGGTTACGTGTCACAGAAGTTGTACAAATAGTGCCCTACATGTTGTTGAATGGAAATATTTGCAAATAAGTATGTCTTAAAAGAATTACTCTCTTCTTTCCAATTCTGATTTCCTTTTTTATTTTATTTTATTTTATTTTATTTACATTTTTAGACTTGTTTTGCATATTTCAAAAATATTAAAGTGCACCATAATAAACAATCTCTTCTCTTAATTATAACCATGCACACCGAAAAGTATATCTTGATGGTCATAAGACCAAACAGAAAAGTGCATATTTGCCTCTTGATTGCAAATTATAAGTTTTATAAATTAAGCTGCACTTAAATCAAAGGCACTCAGAGTGGCTGCAGGGACTACAACCTGAACTTCACTGGGAAAAACCCTGTCCTTTTTTATTATTTTTCTGACTTTAGATTTAAGCACAATGCAGATGCTTCAAATGTCTAACCCTGTGTCCTCTCCACTCGGTGATTCACAACAAAGTGTTTCAAGTTCCACTTAGTCGCGGTGCGTTCAAAGACGCAAGAAAAGGTTATTTTTAATTGTCAGGACAGTCACCACTCAACCCACTTCACCAGAAAATCTGCCTGGTGAATGGAGGTACATCATTAACTGCTCACATTTGAAAATACTACGTATCGTCTTTGCATTTTACAGATTATTTTTGCAATAAAAGGTTTGTTTAAGATAAAAGCTGACCAATTTTCTCTTCTACCACTTGTGAAATCCAAAATGAGATTCATGCCTGTGCAAAGGGTGTGATCAGTGACGTAATATATTTTCACATCTGCTGGTTGTACTGGTGCCATTACGTTTGTTTTCTACAGCAGAGAGGTTCTGCAGAGGCTGATATATTCTGTGTTCACTCCATTCATTATTCAGGATTGTGCAGTAAAACGACAGAAGCTCAAATTAGGAACTTTATTCCCTAATAGGCAATTAAAGGCAATTATAACTTCATGAAACATTCATGACCACTTAATATCGACTGAGGGTCAGAGCTTTAAATCAGAAGTAATTACAATGTAATCAGATGTTTTTATCTTTATGAAATGAGCTTTTAAAAACCGCCCATTTCTTTTAAAATGAGCAAGGACCTCTTATTACATCACACAGCTAACGCAATACAAGCCAGAAAGAAGACATTCCTGCCCATTTTACAAAACGACATGAAAAGAATCAGTTCCATCAATTTAGAGTTGAGACTTAGTTTTGCTAAATGTAAATACAGCTGTTGTTTTTCAGTTAAAACTTGTTCTCTTTTGTTATTTTGTTCTCAATTAAGGACATACATTTCTCAGTAATTTTTAGAAGAACAATTAATCTGACTTAAAAAAAAAAAAAAAAAAAAAACTGTACTCAAGCTTCTCACTAAAAC